TACTTACACTGTTTGACAATTTAAGTACAATGGAACTTTAAGTTTGAAAAATATTGCAGCCTAATGGATAAATAATGTTGGCACCTCTATTGCACGGATACTGACAACTTGTCCATGTCCAACATGTGTCCATCGGATACAAACACTCTATCATAGTCATTTTCTTTTTTATCAGAATTATTGTATATCTTTAATTTAAAATTTTTATTAAATAACAAATAGGTACTTATATCTAAAAGAATTTAACAAGAAAAATTTACAACAAGTATAAAACTAAATTTATACTATATAAATGGAGAATTTTAAATAATATAATCAACGTGTCGATGACGTGTCATATTAGTAGGTTTTTGAAAAAGCACATGGTGGTGTGTCCAACATGTATTTTGACGGACACACTTTCCGTGTTGGTGCATTATAGGTTAGCATTGTTATTTACATTGCTTGACAATTTTAATCCAATGGCACCTTGCCAACTTCAGGTTAATATAGAAATTGTTGAGGATCCGATCATGAAGGACAGTGAAACAGATGGCAGCGAGATGCAATTAGGAAAATTTGTGAAACGTGTGAAAGCAAAGGGAGTAAAGTGGAAAGGAGAGGTGACTGATGAGTTTGCACCTGCTGGAGTGGGAAGTAAAAATGATATTGATATCTTGAAAACTGTGAAGGAAATAAGTATGGATAATTTAGGCACAACTGGACAGTTTGAGTCTAATAAGAGTCATGAACATGTTTATAAAAAAAGTAGACATGGTCATAAGTGTCAGATGGAGAAAACGATCTGTAGTGAATCAAAGGATGTTTCTGTACCAACACAGAGGAGATCATCATCTGCTCAAGGTTACAAATCTCCCCCAGAGATTACTTCAGAGGGTTATATAAATCCGACTGATTTTAATGACTGGCGAATCTCTATTGGCTCTCCCAAAATAGATGAGGAATTTCAGGCTGGTTCAGAAGATAAATATGTGGAGGATATCATGATACCTGCAGAGTCAGACTTAATTTCTTATCCTAAAAAGAAATCTAACTCCTCAACCTCAAAGCAGAAAGGCAAACGTGCTCATAGAGATCACGGCAAGGCCCATGACACTAAGGTAAGCTTTAATGCCGATGAAATTGCCAATTGCATATTATGTTTCATTAATGATTGTGTGGGTTTTCATATGTCCTTCAATTTGCCAGAAGCCTAAGAAAGTCGTGGAGACCGAGAGCACAAGTCTGATGAGTAATTCCACCAAATTGACAAAGAGACAAGAACGGAGAAGTGTTTTTGGGATGGAAAAGGTTAACACAGCCTATCTTTTCTGCATTTTCTTGTATAATGTTCTGTGCTTTTAAATGGAACTTGCTTTGTACTCATAAGTAGTTTAATCGTCATGTGGCAAATTAAAAGAGTCTAAGCATACGAATCTAACATGCATCAAATTGGCAAACCATGGTCTGAAGAATGAAGTATATAATGAGAACCAGTAATTTACTGTCATAACCTTTTAGACCCAACTAAAAACCAGAATGGCTGTAGGTTAATTTTAATTGGTTTCTTCTACGGTTTAGAATGCTAAATTTGTTGCAACTTCTGTTTTGATAATATCACTCAATTCTGATGGTAGTTATTTCTCTTTTAGTGCACATCAAGGGACAATGGAAGTTTCACAGAGGACTTGATTGGATGCAGAATCAAAGTTTGGTGGCCAACGGATAAGATGTGAATGTTTCTTGATTTAGTTGAAAAACAATGATCTTTGTGTCATTTTTGTGAAAAGGGCGATTTTAAGTATAGGATGTTAGGCTTCAGACAACATTTTCTGGCAATATAATTTTGAATCTCTCCCCAAAATTACTTACCCCTTGAGGAATTTCTTTAACATTTTGGATCCCTGAATGGTTCCAATGTCAAGTTTGCATCAATCTCATGTTAAAAGGGGGGAAAACTTCATCTTCTTACCTTGTATGTACCATTTTCATCTTAATGGCCAATAAGATATAGAGATCTTTCTTGCAGCTTTGGTAGCCATGCTTCACTGAGCTTCAAATAAGACACTTCCTTCAGTTCATGGTTATTGACCTCCATGTTATATAATCACACACTAAATATTTATCATTCTTTATGAGCGAGTCAACCTATTTGCTATGTTTTCTTAGTTCCTGTTTTACACCAGAAATAGAATACCTGTTTCCATAGGTGACAACACAAGAGTGCTGGTAATCATTAATAACATTGCAACATGTTTTCTATTGTTGCTTCTTGACTGTGTAACAAGTATGCTGCTGCAAGATACAGAGTATATGTTGTAACTGTCTAACTGTACAGGTTCTATGAAGGTGTTGTCAAATCTTTTGACTCCCGAAAAAAGAAGCATGTGGTAAGCTGCATTTTTGCTTCCTCATTCATTATAGTTAACAGAGACCAACTTTATTATGGTTAACCTTTTATCTCTCACTGTGTTTTTCTTATTAATTTGTTTCAAAGATATCATACGATGATGGAGATGTGGAAGTTCTTCAATTAGAGAAGGAGCTCTGGGAACTTCTTGACAATGGCCAAAAAGCTTTGAAGGTTTAAATATTTATGTCCACCATATTTTTTAATAAGAAGTACTGGCGGATTTTTGGTGGCAGCCACTGCACCCGCTGGACTTAGAGTAAAAAATACATCTAAAATCCTCTCAAAACTCTAAAATTCGGTTTATTTCTTTCTCATACCTTGTATCTTTTTTGTCTTGCTGGTTTGCTTTCAAGTTTGATACTTGTTTGTTTGAAGTGTGTGGATTAAACATTTCCAGAATTTTTATTGCATCTTTTCATACCATGGCTGTTTTAATATGTAAACAATTACGGAAGAAAAATATTATTACCTACAGAATAAATTGATGATTGTAGTGCAGGATTGATGTTGCACAACTTCTTACAAATCATAGCCTAAGAATTTTGATTATGATTACAATGTTAATCTCCCATGTCAAATTGGAGAAGCATGCTTACAAATGGATCCTTGATGATTAATAATGAGTCCCTTGTGTAGCATTTTGAAGTATGAAAACATGTAAAGATTAATTCATTGAAAGAACAATTGAGACATTTTAATATTCTTTGTTACTACAGTATTTCAGAACTTTTATACTTTATGCCCACGCTATAATAAATTCTTGGCTCTGCCCCTGAGTATATGTGTTTGATTCTGGTTTACCTTTGAGCAATGATGATGACTTTAGGTCTAACATGATTTCTACATGGTGCAGCAGTCAAATTCCACGAAGGGTTCCCGTCCTAAAGGAGTGTAAGTTCTACCTTCTTGTACCATTCCCAATTTACAGTTATGTATGGTTATGTTGGATAGGATACTATAGTTTCTCATTCAATTGGCCATCTCTTTCTCTGAGTTTGTGTGTAAACTTGTGCGTATGTCATGCGTGTGTTTGTTGTGCATTTGTCGTGCATGTATCGTGCATGTATAGTGCGTTTTTCATGCAATTGTCGTGCATATATCGTGCGTTTGTCGTGCATGTACAGATCATCCAAGAAAATTAGTTGCAAATAGTTGACTAGGAATATATCCGTGTTTCAGTATCTTATGTACTTGAATTGACTGACAGATCTCCATCACTTCGAGGGAAAGGAACAAAAACCTCAGGGAAAACTCTGAAGCAGAGACAGCATGGTGTATTCAAGAGTAGTTTCTCCACCAAAAGTGAGGGAAGCCCTGGTGTTAAACACCCTGAATCCGTCCCAAAGTCCAATGTTGATGATTTAGACTCAGGTGAGGATCTTACTGTCTAAAGTTGTTGGTTATAGAATCAAATTTCTTTTCTTGTCAATGGTATTTTGTCCTATTGTCAAGTATTCTTTTTTCTATGTTGCCAAATCACTATATTTGAGATTCTCGATTGACTCTTCTGTGTTACTTGACAATTCAGAGGAACAGAAATACAGGTTTGCATATGGTGCAGCTGATGAGGATCAAACGGGCAAGGATGAGAAACAAATAGAGGAATGCGATTCTGAAGATACTCAGAGTGAGGATGTCGACAGACCCCATCGTGTTGCTCTCAGGTCTGATAATAACAACAGATATCTCTACAGCAGACATGGCAACTAATTATAAAATAATTTCACTTTAGATTGTTGGAAAAAATTAATTAGCTGCAGTAGTGATTTGAACAATATAATGCAGAAATATAAAACTTATCGTCCGATCGAGTCTCGTGACAGCACGATGTCCTAAAGTGAAATTGCCCGTCAATAATTGCTGCGACCTCCGTGGACAATCACTCCCAGGATACAACGATCGTAAACCACTTGTGTAGCAATCACGAATGATTTTTTTAGAACTCTCAATTGTACTCCAGAATAGATATAAAAACCCGAATATAAGAAATTCACAATATGAAAAGAGTGATTGATTCTATTTTCTATTTGTGTGTCTTTTCCCAAAGCAAGATATGGGTTTATATAGGTAAGATGGTAGTAACAGTTTTCACCATGTTAATGCAGAATTTTAATGACTGAGTAGTGGGTGTTTTAATGGCAGTTAGTGGGTTGTTACAAAAACAAACAGTCATAAAATACTGGCTAGTTTTACCAATTAAATAACAAAAAAAAATATTTATTTTAGTCAAGGAAGCCCAAGAGCCCAAGGCCCCAAGGCCCCAATCAAGACATTTTAATATTTGCGTGGGGAGTGATTCGAACCCCTGACGTCCCACACAAATGTCACATTTCCCACCACTTTGGCACTTTATCTAATTTGATTATTTCTTTCACATTTTATATTTATACCATAAATACATAACAAAACCATTATCTGAATCAATAATTTATTGACTAAACTAAGCAATTAAATCTTTATTTCTAGTGTTTTAAATTACATTTTCCCGATTGGCCTCGGAAAATTGTGTCATGAATTATAACATTTAAGAAACATCTTTTATTGCTTCAGGTTTGCTATATAGTACCCATGTTAGAGTTGCTTCTGAAAATGATTTATAAAAGATAAAATGTTTTCTACTTCACTTTTTCTGAATTATGTGTTTTTCCCTTCTGCAATTCCATATTGGTAATTCATAACTCATTTTAAATAAATTCTCAAGAAAAATGTGCTACATATGTTTTTCTCCACTCAGATTGAATGAATAATGTGGCTTTTAAAATTTTCATATCAATAGAATGATCGGTTAGATATTCGTTTAAAAGCGGTCGGCTTAGTTGGGGACCTATTTGCTTTGCCTGGATTTGATATCTCAGAGGCATTCCAGCCAGTCTTTTTGGAGTTTTTGAAAATGTTGACAGATAGAGTGGTTAAGGTCAAAATGTCTGTCCTTCAGCATGTCAAGATTTGTCTGCTGGCTAATCCATTTGGAGCTGAAGCCCCTCAAATGATCTGTAAGAACTTTTGAATTGTTTTATCTGTAAATGTATTTCTCTCCTCTCATTCTGATGTGGTAAAAAACTTTCTAGCTGCGCTTTGTGACCGACTGTTGGACCATGATGAAATTGTCCGTAAAGAAGCTGTGGCTGCTGTTTGTGATGTGGCTTGTCATTCCCTAACATCTATCCCTGTTGGGACCATCAAGCTGGTTGCAGAAAAGCTTCAAGACAAATCTGTATGTGTAACCATCTATGACCGTGCACTTCTTCGGTTATTAGTTTTTGCCAAATACCTTGTATGTGTTCTGATAACTTTTTCTGCAAACTTCAGATTCTTGTTAAACGGTATACAATGGAGAGGCTAGCTGACATATTCCGGGTTAATTGTCTACATCATTCTAGTTACTCAACAAAGAACGATAAATATGATTGGATTGTTGGGAAGATTTTAAGATGTGTTTATGATAAAGATGTCAGGTACCTTATTGAATTTCTAGTCCCAGACTTAGTTGATTTTTTAAGAATTGAAATTTTTTAGGGAATGTAAACCTGACTCTGCTAGTATATTAGTCAGTAAATGATTTCATTTCTTATACATTCCACTTGAGAAGTGAGGCTAGAAGTCACAGCAATGTTTGTAGAATTGATTCTGTGAATGCAATTTTTATAGATGTATAGTTTTTTGACATGTTTGGATTTAGATTTGAAGCTTTGATCTTTCTTTTGCAGATCAGACACAATTGAAACCCTTCTATACCTATCGTTGTTCCCAACTGATTTTTCAGTCAAAAACAAGGTGGCAAATTGGGTTAGAATCTTCTCTGGATTTGAAAAGGCAGAGGTTAGGGCTCTTGAAATGATATTGGAGCAGAAGCAAAGGTTACCAGTGCTTGGATTTGATTACACAATTTCTATCTGGTGTTCATAGAACAACTTTAATTTGCTTTTAAACTCACAGTATCTTATGCTGCAAGTTACATATTTTTTAAATCATGTTTCAGATTACAACAAGAAATGCTCAAGTACCTTGACAACAGAGCGTCTCGGGTACTCAATTCTTATTTTTTATTTCTTTTATTTTTTATTTCATATATATATATA